TGGTGGCAGCCTCAGCAGCCAGCATCAAACTTACTTGGAGTGGAGCCCATCCTTGCCGTAGGGCTGCAGCAGGTACTGGTGGACAATCTTATCCCGTAGCGTCCCCGCCAGCTTGATTTTCTTCCGGGAGCGATGCAGGTTGATGATGTACAGGGTGATAGACCCCCGGACGTAGTTGTGGCTGCAAAGGGGAGAGCGGGAGCTGAGGGGCACATTGGCACATGCCCTGGGAGCATCATCTCCAAGAAGGGGTTTGGGGGTTTCCGCAAGAACTGGCCTTATCCCGGGAAGGGGACATCTTACCTGGAGGGGACATCAACATCCCGGCTGCCTCTCCACAGGGAGATGCCACCTCCCTGTCACAAAGCCCAGCTTCATGATGACACCTTCCTAATCTCCCCTTCCCCTCCTTGGCCAGGGGTGGCATGTCTTGAGGGGGTGCTGCACGGGTGTCTGGAGGAGGGGTGGCAGTCCCAGGGCAGCCCCCCCAGGGGCTCAAAAGGAGGAGGCTGAGAACGGAGGGGAGCTCTGTGCGTGAGTGGCGTCTGCCCCCGCCGCCCTGGGCACCTAACTGACAGGTCCGGACACTGATCCTCTGTCCTTGCCTAATCAGGCAGCCCCAAACAAAGGCTATAAAGCACTTTGCACCTGTCAGTTACTGGACAAGGTTTCCTACCGAGCTGGAGGCATGTTGAAAGCATCTGGACTGTGTAAAGAAACAGCCTCTCCTCCTCCACAATAGCAACTTGTGTCTGCGGAGGAGGTGGCCTCTCCCCCGGCTTGCTGGGGCGCTTTCAAAGACCTTATCAGCGAAACAATAACCAGGACGGGCTCCCCGGCAGTGCGGCCCGACGGGTAACCCGACCGACCAGGGGCCCCTCATGTGAAATCCACTCCCTTGATCTCTGCTGCCGGGGCTGCTCGCCGGACACCACACCGGCCCCGGCCGGCCCGTTCCCAGGCACGGACTTGCTGTGACTTTCATCGAAGGCATCAACATTCCCGCCCGCTCCCTCCACCACCACCGCAGCTGGAGCAGCACCCGAGCACGTCCCCTGGGAAGCCAACCCAAACCCTAGGCTCCTGCCCCAGCATGTTCTCAGTGGTCCCCATCTCTTACCCCCCAGCAGCCCTCAGCCTCCCTCACTCCACTTACTTGTGGTAGCTGGTGCAGTGGGCATAAATGCGCAGCTTGTCGCGAATGACTCTGCCAGGCCGGGGTTTCCTCTGGAGACCGGCCACATGGATCGCCAGGACCTTGGGACCAATGAGGCGCTTGTAGAGCAGGGACAGCCAGTAGTCCTGGGGGCAGAGGGGACAGTCAGCAGCACAACAGTCCCCCCGACTCAGTGCAGGAGTGGGCAGGAGAGGCTGGCTTCCCCGCTTACAGCCTAGCAAAATTTTGGCTGTTGGGGGAAAACGTGTGCCAGACATCTGCCTTGGGGTGAGCTTTTTTTGTGCAGGCCAAGCCAAAATGGCATCACTGTTTCCAGGAAAGAAGTTAAGGGAAGAATACATTGCTCTGCCCGCGCTGAGAGACCCCGATACCCTCTCAAGGAGCTTGGCTTTTGGCTGGGCTGTGGAGCGTGGGGAGCAGCATGGATGCCCTTGCACGTTCCCACAGACCTGGACATTGCCACACTGTGGACCTGTGCACCAGCTCCAGCTGAGGCATGCAGGACAGTGATGTCTCTGGAGCAGGCAGGTTGCCCTCCACCCCACTCTGTACACCAGCCTGGAGCACACCCAAGCCCTCCTGTGCTCTCCAGCTCAGTTCATGGCATGCTGGCTTTGGTGACTGCTGAGGGTGCTCCACTTCCCAGAGGTATTTCTCCCGTTTTCAAGCCTCCCGTAGAGTGAAGCTCCCGTGAACGTAGCGTGGGGAAGCCAAGCATTCAAGAAGTAGGAAACATTCAGCCCCTGCACACATGCATTAATGATACAGCCTTTAATTATGTCACCACATACTACTTTTTCCCACAGGGTACGGCCTCACTCGGCACACAGGATGGGCCCCAAGTCCCGGGGAGGGAGGCGAGGCCGTGCGGTGACGGAGGCTGCTGCTGCAGGGCCCCCCACTCATCCGCTGCAGAAGCTGGGAGGTGTGTGGTAAATGAAGCAGGGTTGTGGGAAAGCAAGGGGCAGTCTCAGGCGCTTGCCTGCTGTTCTGCAGGATGGGGCTCTGGCCCTGCCACTGCTCCAGGCACCCTGGATGATGCTGGGGAGATGGAGCCTCTCATGCTGCATCTCTGGGTGCTGCCTCTGGGTGCTCTGGGCACTGCCTGGGTGCTGGGGCACCTTTGCACACACAAGCACTCTGGATAAACACCCTCTGCGCAACCCAGACTAGCTGCCCCAGAGGGACCATGTGCCCCAGGGCAACTAGGATGATTCCCCCAACCCATCAGCAGCGATGGTCACGCTGGCACTAGCGACTACTATGCCCATAAGCATCTGACCCACACAGTGAGGAGGACCTGCTTCTGATGTGGAAAGGAGCACAGACCAAGTACCCTGTGGCTCTGCACGCTGCCTGGGGAGGCACGAGGAAAGCCCTGCATGGTCAGGATACTGCCAGGAAGGGGTCTGCCACCCATTCTCCCCTTCCAGAGTGGCATGGAAGGGGAGAATGGGGTCTCCAGGGCCCCAGGGTACAGGGTAGGATGGGCAGGTGGAAGTGCAGATCCCTCACACAGGTACAGGTGTCCATCCTGTGAGTGGGAAGCCCTCACACAGCCACAGATTAGCATATATTTGGGATGAAGAGGCCAGCAGGTGAAACACAGAGCAAAGCTGCAGCAGCAACTGGCATGAGGCGAACACCCACTGGCCAGAGTGGACTGCTCATCCCCATCCTCTTTGCAGCCCAGCTCAGCAGAAGCTGACCAGTTCCAGCAATGCTGGGCTGGCCTGGCAAAGGGAGATCCAAACCCACTTCCCACTTTCTGGGTAAGCTTTCACCACAGTGCTGGAGGAAAAGCTCTCTCCTGCTCTTCTTTCACTGCTCTCAGCCAAAACCACGGGGCTTTGTGCCACACCAGCCTGGTAACTGCTTCCCCTGCAAACCCTGGGTCCTGGAGGAGATGTGAAGATGAAAAGAGAGGCTTGTGCACCCCGAGGAGGTTCAGCCCACAAGGCCGAAGCTCCCATGGAGGATGAGCTGCAGTTGCTAAATACTGCAGACGTGTCCTGTCCCCATGGCGTGTGCCACTGTCCCCGTCCCTGCTGGCTGGTGGTGCTGCCCCACACCCTGGGGACACCCCTGTTGGCACCGTGCTGTAGGGGCTGTGCCAGCCTTCTTCCACTGCAGGAAGCTGTGCCAGCCCATCCTGCTCAGACTCACGGCAGGAGGGAGAAGCAGCGCCCAGCGCACTGCCAGTTCCCCGGCGAGACACACCGATTAGCAGGCGTCATTAGATGAGTAATTACCTGAGTTTACAGTGAGGCCAAAGGTGAGCACAGATCGTAGTGTTTAGCCCCACAGTTGTGAGTTAAAACTAAAAGAGCTCAGTGCCCCAGGCTACCTGTCAGCTCAGGCACTTAGGTCTTTCTAGCAGCCACCTTGGAGTTTCTCGCCTCCTCTCTGTATTTCCACTGATGAGATGTTACTTTTTCCCACAAGTTATGGGAGTGATAGTGGCCAGACACTTTGTGGCTGCCTTCAAAATTTCCCTAGGGGTCTCAAGAGCTGTTTTGCAGAGGGCTTGCGATGGCCTTGTCGCTATGGGGAGCTGGCATCAGCAGCTCCAGCCTCCTGCTGAGTACCCACCCCTCTAGGCAGGCTGGTCCCTGGGGGTTTGCTGGTGTGTACCCACCCCTCTGGGCAGGGTGGTCCCTGGGGGTTTGCTGCTTCAACACCAGCATCCCTCCGCTCTCAAGGCTCAGCAGCAGGAAGGTTTGCAATGTGGGGGTGCAGGGAGCTGCCCAGCCCTGTGACCTTCCCTGGTTGCTGACAAATCTCTTGTCTTGGCATACACTCTTCCTCAGGGTGCTCTGACAAGCCGTGCTCCCTGCAGCGCTGGGGAGCTGAGCCCCAGGCTCCTGCTGTGGCTGCTCACAGGCAGAGCTGTGCCGTTCAGAGGGGCAGCACCACCAGCATCTCTCGGGCTGGGCACAAGGAGAGACACTTGTCTGCCTGAGAAGCATTGGCCACATTTTGTGACCTTCTGATCCAGCTAAAGGCACACAGTTTTTCTGAGAAAAAACATGCAGATGCCATGAGACAGGTAAGGCAGTCAGCAGTGATGCAGGGTGTGCTGTTCTGCAAAGCATGAGATGACTATGGCTGCTTGGAAAGTATTTTGGCGATGACCAAGGCAGCGTAGGGACTGACCTGTCCCTCCAGCATCTACAGGAGATGAGAGCAGTGATTTTACCTTGCCTCACTGGCAAGGCTAGCTCCAAAGTCTCCCTTTTGAGAAGGATGTGGAAATACCAAAGAGAGTTCAAAGGAGGGCCAGAAAAATGACCCAGGGCTGGAAACGGAGTCAGCACCGGCCTCAAGGCACTCGAGCTCTTACTGCAGGGAAGCACTGAAGACAGCTGCAGCTTTTCGCGTCATCGCAGGCCCGCTTGCAGCAGGGGCCAAAATCATGTTACTTGCAATAAATTACCAGGAGCTGGTGACACCAAGCATTTGGATGATGAATTACATGCACACGTAGCATGATGGGATCAAACCTGCCAGGTGCAGGCACTTTCCCAAGTTGGGCTGGTGCTCTGGCGATGCTCCTACCACTGGCATGAGCGAACCTGTTAAAATCACACTGGGGCTGCTGGGCAACTGCAGCTACTGGCTCCTGTTCAAACGGTGACCAGCTTGGGAAGCAGTTGCTCTTGAAACTCAGCTTGGCTGCAACCAGGGTGGCTTTTCCACTGGTCAGTGACCTCTCCCCAGACCCCTGGCAGTGGCTAGTATCCCCTTCCATATGGTAAACCCTGTGCAAGTGCGGCCCCCAGGCTGGCATCGCCCATATGCCCCTTGCAGAGAGGAGCGCCTGCCTTGCAGCGTGGTGCCGGGCATCACGGTGGAAGCAGCCCCGGTGATCTCCAGGGACACTTGTGGCTCTGACCAGTGCAACTGCAGAAAGCGTTTGGCTTTTGGCGTCACGGAGGGCTCCTGTTGTGAAGGCAGAGCCAGCAATACAGCTGTAGTGGTAGAGGAGAAATAACAGACAGGAATCTGGTCCACTATTAGTCCCCCAGGAACTGAGGGAGCTTTCTTGCTTTAATTACTTTGCAGACCCATTAAGCAGTGCTACCACTGCAGCCCTCGGAGCCACAGGTGAGGAGCACCTGAAGGAAGAGCTGTCCTGTGCCTCAGGAGGTCTCCTGGCCAGGACCCCTGATTTATGGGCAGGAAGGGTGCCTGTCTCAAGCGAGCTGACATGCAGAGCTCAGGCCAGCCACATCCTCTGAGCACCATGGGGCCAGTGAAGACCCACGAGCTTTCCACTAGATGAGGAAAGCCCAGAGGGTTCCACTCGATCTCTTTGCACATTTTAATTAATTGCAGGAGCTTTTAGAGACTTCAGCTTTTGGAAACAAGGCTGATGATCCAGACCTTCAGACAGACCTATTAACCAGACCCTCCTGTCTCCAGAGCCATTAGGAAGGGCGCAGGACCGTATCCCTGTGCTCTCTCCTACAGCCAGCAAAGCAGCTTTACAGCCCGCCTGGGTTTGTTCAGCTCCATGTTCACCACATGTGAGAAGATGTTGCCATAACCAGAAAACTGGAGTAAAAGAGCCATAGCCCTTTGGTCTCCTGGGGACTGTAACTGGCAAAGGCAGACAAACTTCAGATGAGCTGATGTCCCTCAGACTTCAGATGTCCCTCTGGCTGGGGCTGCCGGGACATTGCTCTGTGTCTGTGTCACTGGCAGCATCAGCTGACTGCTGCCTGCCCTACTCCTCCTCTTCCTCCTCTTCTTCCTCCTCTTCCTCCTCTTCTTCCTCCTCTTCTTCCTCTTCTTCCTCCTCCTCTTCCTCATCTTCCTCTTCCTCTTCTTCTTCCTTCCCTCTTCTGAAGCTGCCCAAGCTTTTCCTCCATCCCTCAGGCATGCTCGAGTTTCATGCTCGAGCCTGTTACAGATTGCTCCATTCCTGCACCTTCATCTGTGTTTTTCCACAGTCCAAGCAACCCGTATGGAGATAAGGGCTGGCTGCTCTGCCTTCCTGTACACCCTGGGACAGAGAGCATCACTCTTATCCCTCTGTTGAGACTGATGGCTCGTTTCTGGCAAAAGCATCTTCCAGAAAAGTAGTGATTTTGGTTGTGAGGGCTTGGAGGGATGGAGAAGC